AACCTCAGGCATGTGAGCAGCAGGTACTTCATTTAAGTCCACAGAAGTTCAACAGATCCTTCTGGGAAAACCCAGCTGAGCCCCATAGATGTGTGTAAAATTAATGACTATCATTAGAAGTTGGTGAGGTGTTGGGATTGTTTGTTACACAGCAAAAGCTAACTGTGGTATTTAAACATCAGTAATAACCAGTTGGAAGACACACACTATAAGTAAGACCTGTGACCTGTAAAGGATCTGGTCTTCTATCCTTGTGTCCCTTGTCCCAGCTCTTCTCCATGCAACAGCCAAAGGAGCCTTCCTAAGTACAGACCGGTTCATGTTGTTCCCAGGCCTAACACCCACCAGCAGTTCCTCAGAGTCGAGTCTGGAGTCTACCTTCACTGCCTGCAGGGCTTCCTGAGATTTGCCTTTTTGCCTCGGACCATAACTAGCCCCAGCCCTTTGCATCAACCTATAGGAGCACTGGCTGCCTTGCTGTCTGTCCCTCTTGCCTGGGAGGCACACTGGAGGCATGAGGCCTTTGTGTTCCCATCCCTTTTTCCCTGCCAGAAACGCTCTTTCACAATCTGTCTGACTCACTCGCTTTCTTTGAGCATCTGCCCAAATCCCCATCACTGCAGAGGCTTTCACGGGCTGCACAGTAGACCATAGCGCTCTGCCCTCCTCCCACACCCCTGCCTCCTTACTGGCTTTTGTCTCCCTTGGCACTTCTTGACATAGTACCAGTATTTTTATTTGTTTCGCGTTGTCTTTCTGCACTTTCTAAAATGTAGGCTGCACACACCAGGAATTTGGTTTTTGTTCACTTTTTTTTTTTTTTTTTTTTTTTTTTTTGGTTTTTTCGAGACAGGGTTTCTCTGTGTAGCTTTGCGCCTTTTTCCTGGAACTCACTTGGTAGCCCAGGCTGGCCTCGAACTCACAGAGATCCACCTGGCTCTGCCTCCCGAGTGCTGGGATTAAAGGCGTGCGCCACCACCGCCCGGCTTTTGTTCACTTCTTAATCCCAAGTCCAGAACAATGATCAGGATTTAAGTCCTCAATAAATACTGTTGAATAAATAGGTGAACTTAGGCAGAATTTTTGTAAAAACTCATGGAACTTGTATGAAATAAAAGAACAAATCTAAAACTGAATGGAGGGAGATAGAAAAAAACACGCTGAAACATATAGTGATAAGTAAGCTTTAGGAAGAGAGAGCCAGTATCTTAAGGATATAATTTCTTCTCAAATTCATTTTAATTGAACACATTCCCTAGAGTATTTAGTGGAGGAATCATCAAATAGATCTTAAGGACAATTTAGACATGCAAATGTTTACAACTATCTAAACTGCTTTGTAAGAATGAATAGTAAATGCTGGGGATATGCTAGCTCACCCTGTGCGAGGACCTATGCTTCCTTAGAACTAAAAATAAATAGGTAGGCCTGTATTCTCTTCCATCTGTTAAGACATTTAAAAGGCTACAGAAATAAAATCTTGGCAACACCAGTGGGAACAGCCATTTCATTTGAGCAGAACAAAATCCAGAAACAAACCTGTGACCATCCATACTGATTTTCAACTTGATGGGATTTAGATTCACCTAGACAAATCTCTAGGCATATCTGTGAGGCAATTTCCAGTTTGCATTAACTAACATGGGAATGCCCACCCTAAATGTGAGTGGCACTATTTCCTAGGCTCAAATCCTGGGCTAAATAAAAAGAGAGCAGGCTGGGCACTAGCAGACATTGCTCTTTACTTTGTGACTGTGGATACAATGTGTCCAGTCACCTGTTCCTGCCCTGTGCCTTGTTGCCATGATGAACTGTAACCTCAAACTGAGCTGAAATCAACCCTTCTCCCCTCAAGGTACTAGGATGTTGTGATGGCAGCTTTGGGAGAGTGACACAGTTAATCTTTCTAGAATCTATGTCCATGTATTAGTTACTTGCCTCACTGTGACGAGACATCTGAAGAAAGGAACTTGAAGAAGAAAGGATTTGTTCTGCCTTATGGAGGCAGATGGTGGCAGGGGACACTTTCCACCCTGACAAGGAGTAGCATGGCAGCAGTAACAAGAAGCCAGCTGGCCACACTGAGTCCACAGTCAGGAAGTCACAAGTGATGACTCTTTGTGCTCAGCTCAGTTTTTAGAAGCATTTTTAAAATGTATTTATTTTGTATGTATGGGTGTTTGGCCTGCATGCACGTCTGTGCACCATGTTCGTGACTGGTGCCCACAGAGGCCAGAAGAAGGCCTCAGATCCCCTGGGACTGAAGTTCAGATGGTTGTGAGCTGCCATGGGGGTGCTGAGAATCAAATCCTGGTCCTCCGGAAGAGTGGCCAGTGCTTTTAATATCTGTACTATTTCACCAGCTCCATTTTCTTCTCTTTACTCAGTCTAGACCCTTCCACACGTGGTGTGGGTCTTCTCATCTCAATTAACCTGGACAGTCCCTCAAAGTCACTCTCAGAGGCTTGTCTTATCAGTGACTCCAGGTCCTGTCAAGTTCACAGTGAACACTAACTACCATACCTCTTGTCCTAACTGGATACACTGACTTTCTGACTATATTAAGCAATCTTGGGATATGAGCTGTGTGAAATGGGTCAACAGAAACAGAGAATGAATCCTGGCATTGTCCATACACACACAAGCTTTGGGATTTGCTACATTCTGTTCAAGCTGCGGATTCTGTTGACTAAGATATGCCTCTGAGCACTCCAGCATATACAAATATATCTGGTCTTCCATATAAAAACAGTTACAAAATGTTGAGAGAGCCCAGTGTGATCAAATATGGAACGGTGCTTAATATATTACCTTATATAATTACAGGTTTGACTGAGTCTAAGATCTCTGATGTGACCACAAGAGTCATCAGTCTTCTGAGTCCCATGGACATCAATAAACCGGCCAGAGCCAAGGGGGTCCCTGCAGTGTCTGAGAAATGGGACAAGTTTCAAGTAGTGATAGACTATGCTGATTCAGGATGTGAGAACTCCACTAACAAAGGTAGGCTGGGTGCTTATTAGACAGTGGTAGGGAGTGAGAAGGAGAGGAATAGACCCTAGGTCTCAGGCTGGGGAGAACTTTGTGTCAGGTAAATGGGGAAGAACATCCCTGAGTCCCTGTGTCAGGAAAAGAAGAATTGGCTTAGGAAAGATTCTAGGGTAGTGGTCAATGGTGTGCAGTTAAAAAGCATCCTTCTTTGGGGGAAAGTATATCCAGAGGAGCCTTACCCCCATCATAACTGGTGAGAAATATTGATCTAAAAATTACCATTTGATGAAGAAATTAGTGCTAGAAGATTCTTGGAACTAGTTATCTCTTTACTGTTTAAAGTAAAATGTGGAATAGGGTTTTTGGCTTGGAAATTTAGCTTTTTTAAAACAAAAAAAAAGTTTTTGGTCATTTTGTATTGTGTTTTCCTAGAACAAATAACCATTTTGTTGTATTCCTTGAGAAATAATCCATGACACATGAGCTTTTTAATCACAAAATAAGTATGTTAAGCTTTATCATTGGAACAAAATAAATGGCTGATTATTGTCACTTATTGCTAAAGATGATATCTGTGTTCGATCTTGGCCTGCGTTCTGCTCCCCAGCCTCCCTGATAGTTAATGTCAGTGAGTCATTTTTTTAGTTGGGCGCATTTCCTGCCGGTTATTTGCATACTTGCGTTCTGATGCTGAGAAAAATCCTAGAAGCCAAGCTTCAGAGCTTGCACACGGCCTGGCCGATGCCTGCCATTCCAATGGTGTTCACCTGGAGTGCTTTCACCGGGGACCTGCTCCTCTTCCATAACTGAGTGTGTGTGTGTGTTGGGGGGGGGGGGTGTGCAGAAACAAAAGATAAAGAATCAAACACCTATCCTCTTTCTGTTTCATTCTTTACAGAAGGAGAGGCCCCGCCCCACAGCCCCTCCCTGTGCAGCCTCTACTGAGCAAACCCTGCAGCAGGGGTTCAGAGCACTATGATGACTCTGTTCCTCACCTATTCACTCCTCAAATGCTCCCATGTTCAGCTGCTTAAAGCATTCGGTGATCATCTGCTGGGAATGTGTGCTGGTTATTTCTAATAATATATATGTCTAGTGATATATATGTCTAAGGGCAAATGTGTTAGCCATTTAGTCAGTAATTGCTGAGCACTTAGTGAATTCAGAATTTGTTTTGCTATTTCTCTAAGAATGTAATTGGTATTTGGGTGGAAATTGCATTGAATCTATAAGCTACTTTGGGTAGTATAGACACTTTAAATATATTAATTCTCCCAGTCCACAAGCATACGTGGTCTTTCCCTTGTGTGTGCACATGCCATCTTCAGTTTCTTTTATCAGTGTTTTGTAATTTTATTATAGGACTTGTTACTTCATAGACCTACAAGTCTATGACAGAAGAAGAAAATGCATTGTGCGTGCACATGCAATGGAGTATGGTCCTACATAAAACATCTGCGGCAGGATGGACACAACTGGAAGACACCACGGTGAAATAAGCCACGTCCCACATCCTTTCTAAGCAAGGATGTCTCACACATGGAAACTAAAGATATTGTTCTCATAGTAGACAAAAGTGGAGTAATCATTCCTAAGGCACTGGAAAGGGAGAGGAAAGAAAGGAGAGATTAAAAGATGTTGGATAGTAAGTACCAAGACACAGTTAGATGGAGGGAGGGAGTCCCAGCACATTATCGCTGTCAGTAGGAGGTTATAGTTCACTAATGCCCAGGATCCCAAAGGTTCCTAAATTGGGGATAGAGAGATGACTCAGAGGTTAAGAGCACTGGCTGCTCTTGCAGAGGACCTGAGTTTGATTCCCAGAACACATATGATATCTCACAACCATCTGTAACTCCAGTTACAGGGGATCCGATGCCCTCTTTGTCCTCTATGGGAACTGTACACAAGTGGGAACTTACATACATGCACACAAAACACTTATATATACATAAAAAATAAAATATACACATCTTTTTATAAAAATACATCTTTTTATAAAAGGCTCCAAATATAGGCAAGTGATAAGGAGACAGAAAGCTAGCTGCCTTGGTTAAAAAGGACACACTGTATACATTCACTGAAATATCGGCACATTGTATCCCACTAATACATACAATTATTATGAATTTATTTTAAGGAGAGATAGAGACATACAATTGCAATAATTATCTGGTCAGGGAAATCCTGGAGAACGAGAGCAGGCCCTGTATGGGACAGCTGAGTAGGGACATCCCAGGCAGAGCTTAGCAAGGATAAGGGCGCAGAGGCAGAAACAGATGGCAACACAGTCTGGAGGGTGGTCTGAAAGAGGAGGTCAGCACTCAGTGAGACTGGACCAGATCAGACCAGACTTCCAAACGGAACTGTGGTTAACTGCTGGACATTGTGTTCCAAATCAAATTGTGTATCCTCTGGGAGGGAGGACTCAGTGGATGATGCTTCCACCCTGATTTCTTGGAGCTGGAAAAGGTAGGGGACCAGCCTAAGAAGCACCCATGGGTATGGACACCATCTTTACACCATTCTTTTTCTGGGTGGTGGCAGGGAGGTGACCCAAGGGCTATGGTCAGGGTAGAACTTTACAGGTGGTATAAGTAGCTAGCATTAAAATGAGACACACAGCTCCCACTGCAGCAAAGTCACTTGGGAGAGTAGGTCATTGGCTGGCTGTGTTGCCACACTGAACTCTCCAGCGTCCTACCAGAGAGAGGTGCAAATCTAGACTTAGAAACAAAGTGTTTTCCATAGGCTAGGAGGCCATCAATTTCATCAAGTGTCTGTAAAAGGCAGGTATGCAGGACTAAGCTGTGGGGAGATTTGGGAAATGTATGGAGAAGACATCTCTAACTTGTTAACCTCCAAGATGGCCCTCTTTCCTATTGTGCAGTCAATACCCCTCTCTCCTGAGAAAAGAAATTAATAAAAAACCACCATCGCCACCACTCACATAACAGGCCGCACAAAGCTTAGGAGTTCACTCCTGCTGACAAAGAATGGACGTGCTCTTGCCTGCTGATCTGATGGTACAGAAGGCAATGTTCTTACCTGAACTTACCTCCAAGGAGAACTAGCTTTGAGACCTCTCAGGAACATTGTTTAAATGCACCTTTCCATTTAAAAAGAATGCTTCAAATTAATGTTTGAAGTCAATTGACAAGCATTTAGTCGGTTTGAGTCTCTAGGTGTCTCAGCGTGGAGACTGGACTGGAGAGCCAGACCATGAAGACTCTGGAATATACATGGGTGTGGGCAGGACAGGGAAGCCCTTAGGACTGTCAAGGTGGATGATCTGGGAAAAGCACCAGTTCCACAAGCCTGCTAACCCAGGCTCGATTCCCAGAAACCACGTGAAAAAGCATGATGCCGTGGTGCTCATCTGCAACCTCAGAATGCCTTATGGCAAGACAAGAGTGTGGTGGCCTCGGGTTTGCTTTTATTAATAAGACTCTCTAAGATTCATGCTACACAAGAGACAGGAGAATTGTCCAGAAACTTGAGGGCCCACTAGCCTGGAGCAACAGACCAGAAACAAAAAAACCCTGCCTCAGAGACAAGGCAGAGGGAGAGAACTGACTCCTCCAAATGTCTCCTGATTCCACACACATACACCACAGTAGTAATATTCAATAAAGACATTGTAAAGGGATTTTTAAAGATGCATTTGGGGACCAAAGAAGGTGTAGTCTGGCAGTGCACTTGCCTGGGAAGGTGTAGCTTGGTGGTGCAGCACACTTGCCTAGCTGAGTTCTATTTTTACACCCCAAAAAACCTGCACTTGTAACTTTCAATACAGAATCCACAGAGTCCTAGCTGTATGACTTTGGGCAAATTACTGCTTCTCTGTGCCTCATTTTCCCTATGGATAAAATACTGAGGAAATGTGTTGTATTTACATCTGTGGCCACAGAGCGTCTGCTTCCAGTCATAGTAATGAGCATAACTGCATAAGAGATGGATGGACATAGGCACACACAGGAACCTGGAAGTTAAAATGTTTACAGTGGCTTAAGGAGAGATGAGGACGGCAAATTAGTACCCATCTCATTGGAAGACTTAATTTACATCAAGTACCTGGGCTGGGGCCTGATACGCTGTAGGTGCTCCAGGTACTAAGCAGTACCTTGTTTTAGTACTGAGTTTTGTTTTGTATTTTTAACCTGGTGTTACCCAGGGCTACACATGGTCTGTAAAGAGTCCAAGGCCAATGTTAGCAAGAACAGTTGCAGCATTCCTGTGCTTATAGAGCACAGCCTTCATAGACTCAGTTCTCAGAGGCTTATGTTCCTACGCCTGAGAGACTTTGAGTAACTAAGCAATCATATAGTAAACTGAGGCTACAATGACCCGAGGAAAGCCCCAATTAGAGAGAGGGGTGCCCTGCTTTCCCCTGATGTCCCCAGTGTGACCCTTTATTACAACACTAGAACTGTCTATCAGCATTTCCACTAATGCAAAGGGGAAAACACAGGCCTGGGCTTCATGGAAAGTGTTCTGATTCTCACAACCAGAATTCCTGCCTTTAGAAGGGGGTGGGGGTAGATCTTTAACTTTTCCTTTAGCATTTCAGAACCCAACTATTTGAAAAGCGTCTTTTCTGAGGAATGGTATTTCCTGGCATAAAACAGTCTTTGTCAAGTGACTCAGACTGATTATTTTTCAATATCAATTGGCCTCAACTTTACAGAGAAAAAGTGGGCACTGGGTATCAGTTTGATGTCAGGGTTTTTCCCGGTTTGAAGAGCTTTAAATATGGCTAGCCTGGAAGGTGCCAGTAGGTTGAGCTCCAGACTCCTGCCAAGATGTTTGTGGCCTCCATCCTTGCCTCTGCCCTGCTCTTCGGTTCTCTTGGTTCTGTGCTGGACCGGAAATGCAACACCACATGGGTGATCAGAGACACCAGTTTCCTTATTGAGAAGCTGCAGGTAGATTATGGGGCTGGGGGGAGCTGGCAACTGTGTGAGCCATCCCTGGAGGATGAGGAAGGGCACTCTACTCACTCTGAGTTATCATCTCTTTGCCTACTATAGGGAGACCCAGCCTCAAAATGCAGTTGCAGCACCAATGTGAGTGAATGATTTCTTAAGAGCCTTCCAAACCTGTCTTAACGTTCACAGCTAGAATGTTTATGCTGAGATTTCTCTCTTGCAGGTAACCAGCTGCTTGTGTCTTCCCATCCCATCTGTAAGTATAATTGAAAAAGATCATTGGGACTCTGTTTAAGCTTTGAAGAAAAGTAACACAATTTACTTGACATTCTAAGTTTTAAATTATTATTCAAGTGTAACTGTTATAGTATAGACCCCACCTTTAAAACTTGTATGTTTTTATGTACATTATACATATATCTATGTATTTAAGTTAGCCTCATGGCCCTTGAGAAATTTGAATATTTTTCAGAGTCTAAAATTTATTGACTATCTTGAGATAAATGGTCATTCACAAAATGAAAAAAATATGGATATTGCTTTCTGATTCATGTGCTGATGACTCCAGTCTGTGAAACAAAGTAACAGCACCAGGCGTGGACTACCTGGATGTCACACACCTCTCCTTTCTCTAGCTCCTCCTCCTCCCTGCCCCTACCACTTTTTCTTCCTTCATCTTCCTGCTGGCTTTTGGTGGCTTTCAAATGGTTCCAACTGTCCTCTAGGAGGACAGCATCAAAGTTTGGTGCTGGGGACCGAATAGGACCCCAAGAGAGCCGCTGCCACTGTGGCAGTGAAGGAGGAGCAGGGAGGCTGTGGTCCTGCTTTAACTCCTGCTCAGGATGAGAGAGCAGTCAGGTAGACCTCTGCAGGGCTCACCCTGCAAGCTGGGCCTGGGAGAAGCTGGCTTTGGAACCCTGTGGAGGTCCGACGCCCCATCCTCTGGGGTCTGTGGTCGGGAAGGGTCCAGCCTGTTCCCTCCTTTCTCAGGGTAGGATTTTAGCTTGTCTGAAACATGAGCCCTGTCCAATGGCATGCCTCAGCTGGTGTGAGAAAGGCTTTTCCTTTTCTGGACTTTCAAACTCGCAACCACTGGACCTGGCCGGGGCCACCAGGTGCAAGGCAGACGCAGCATGGCCTCTGTCATGGCATCAGGCCCACATTTCCTGGACAGAATCTCCTCCGGGGGTGTCACTAGAAAAATGACTCACCTTAAATTACTTAAGATCATTTCCTGGACTGTCAAGGAACAGATGTGAACATAGCACAAGTTTGGGTGACACCGTTTAGATGAAGATGCTCTTTAAAATTCTCTTGGTGATTCTTTCTCAAAGCTGTCCTAGACAGTTTTCACGAACCCTTTTCCTAAGCCCTTATCATTTACCAGGATGATTGCACCACACCGTGCTTCCAGGAGGGCCTGTCACAGGTGACCAATGCCACAAGGAAATCCAAATTCTTCGTTTTTTTCTCTCGGGTGAAAAGGACAGTTGAAGTCCTGAAGAGTAACAAGTGTCCGGTGAGTTCTGTGTTCGCATGTGACAACTGACTTCTGAGTGGATGCTGACACCAAAGGAGTAGGGCCTTTGGGTCAGAGCTGCAGCAGAAAACTTGAAGCAACATGACGGCTTGTCTCTGAGCAGATGAGAGAGGATGGTAGTTAGGGTCGGCAGCCCAGGCTGGAAGGGGGCAGGTAAGAAATCTAACCAGAAACAAGACTCCAGAAGTAGGAGCTGCTCTGGACTCCGTGGTCCCCCTGGCTAAATGGAACCACCACCGACACCCGTGTGGCCAATGTCTTCTCTCTGCCTGTCGGATGATGAAAGAATTCATCCTGTTATAATCAAAAGATACTCTCTAGAGTCAGACTGTGCCTCAACATACTAACCAAGGATTTTTTGTTTGTTTGTTGAATGGCTCAAAAGGTTTGTAAAAAAAAAAAAAAAAAGACACCAAGGTCTAGGTAGGTACTTGCTACCCACCCCACACACGGTCAGCATGTGCCCTGGTTCCTGGGGAGTGGAGGGCCTCTGAGCATTGGTATGCATAGGAGAGCACCAGCAGGACAACGTGTTGTGGTTGGCCACTCTAGCCACATAAATCTGCCCAGAGTGGCGTCTGCCCCCGCTGTGCCACATGTGCTGTTAGGCTGAGCACCTGCCTTACAGGCCAGTTTTAGCTCTGTCACCCCTGCTAAAGGAGGACGGTGATACCCAGGAGAGTTATTTTTCGGATGTGATTGTGTTTAATAAGAGACAAAGTTGGGACTTAAACTCTGGTCTATGTGAACGCGAAGCCTCACTCAGAACTACTGTGTTATAAAGTGACCTTGAAAGGATGGGGAGAGGGGGGGAGATAAAAAGTGTATAGATATTTAGTTCTCAGAGAATCCCAAGAAAATTTTCCCTAATGACATTTAGGGAAGTGTGTGTGTGTGTGTGTGTGTGTGTGTGTGTGTGTGTGTGTGTGTGACATATTCACACGCGTGCATGCAGACTCCTGGAGTCCTGACCCCAGATTAACCCTGCACAGTCTTTCCACATACTAGCTGTCCCAGGATCACCTTCTTATTTTCCCCACATCTCACTCCTCTCTCCCCTGCCCATCAGCTGGTCCCAAGCGTGGGGGAGACGGTCCTGGGGCCGCTAGGCACACACTACTGCACTTGCTCACTCTCTTGTCCTCTCCCCTCGCTGCAGTTTTTCTCCTGTGAAAAGCCCTGCAACCAGACCACGGCAGGCAACACCTTGTCATTTCTGAAGAGTCTCCAGCAGACGCTCCAGAAGGCAGGGGAGCAAGCGCCGAAACGCCGAGCATGAAGATGAATATTATTTATTCTATTTATTGAATTTATAAGGCCTTTCCTCTTTAATTGTCACAATGAAGAAATAAACTCAGCTATTCTAGACCAAAGCAGCTGTGCTCTTTTGTTCCGCGTTTGCTTTTGGAATAGAGATCCACGGGGAAGCGGAAATACGAGCTGCCTCCAGGTGCTTTCTCGTTGCTTACTCATTCCCGCTGCTCAGAACAGCTTCAAACTTTGTCATAGGTGGACGGATCAAAGACTTGGTGATAAGCAGAGTCATATGCCTGAGCCCAGAACTAGAGGCTTAAGCCTTGACTGGCCTGTGGGTGAGCAGCTATGGGGGACAGTCTGAAAGGTGACAGTAGTGGAGGTGAAGAGCTGCCTGGGGGAGGCACAGGACATACCAAATTACCAAGGGAGTTTGTTCCTGGGAAACAAACTGTAGACCCAAAGTGTGAAGGGCCATCGTTTGGTGAGTCCAAGGGCTGAGGGACTCCTTGGGAATGTGGGGGCTGAAAAGATGTGTCAGTGGTCAAGAGTATTTGCTGCTCATCCAGAGAAAGAGTTCAGTTCCCAGCACCCTTGTCAGGAGGCGCACAACCATCTGGAACTCTAGCTCCAGGAGATATGGTGCCTCTGCCCTCCAAGGGCTCCTCCACTCACATGCACATGCCCACATACATACACACATCTACATATAATTTTTAAAAATAAAAATAAACGTGGGCATGGCTCACATAAGAGGCTGGCAGCGGGCCTGGAGATGAGTCACAGAGTAGGGCCTTCAGGTTAGAGCTCGAAGCAAAGAAGTGTGTGATCAACGTGGTCTGTTTACCCGAAGCTGTTCAGGGAGCACCCACCACGTGTCAACCCGCAAAGCCTAATGGGCAAACCCCAGAAATCCTCAAACAACACTGCAGGCTGGCAGAGTGGGGGTGTAGCCATTCCCCTCACCCGAACACTCTACCCATCCAGTGTCCACTCTGGCCTCTATCCCACAATGCTCACAGCCTTGGCAGTGCCGGCTCTCCAGATCACGTGCAGCTCTCCAGGGACCTGGTTTGTTCACTCCTGTACTAGTACTGAGCTGTCTTGGAGCAAGCACTGAGTGACTATGGGCTGAATGGATAATGGGTCTTCAGATGCAAGGATGCAATTGGAACTGAGTCAGGAATATGCGTGCCTGATGGATAGATTGGACCCAGAACATTCTATGGGTGTTTTTGCAACATTCCTAGGCAGGTCAAGGGTCAGTTTATGCTACCTGCCTACCTAGGATGGAAAAGACTTCAGACCTTCTGTTTGGCCCCTTTAGCATTGACTGATGGACTCCTGGACACAGGGTCAAGGACAGGTGAGAGTCTTTTGCAGAGAGAATGGCCCTCTCCCCCTCCATCTGCTGATACAGAGGTATGTGGGGAACCCCGGGTTAGCTCTTCATGAGTGAAGCTTCCAAAACTGGGTTCCTGCCTCTACACAGTGAAATGAATAGGGAGGGTGTCTGAGTGTGTGTGTCATGTCTGGTGTCTGGCCTGTGGATCCCCTAAAACAAGGCGCCTTTCCTCACCCCTTCCAAACTTACCACTCCAAGTGTGATACACAGAAAATGCTGAGAAGTCTAATAAGCCACACACTTACAATAACCGTTAGTGTTGAGTACTTAACATTAGGCATTCTTTTTGGACTGGGAGAGAGAACCTTACTTAATTACCCAAGACTGGTAGGAAGAAGACACTAGTATTTCTTTTTTATAAGCATGAACATAGAAGCTTTCTAGGTTGGAGATGTTCACAAGATCCCTCAGCTGGTGAAACCTTAGAGCAGAGAGTCACTTCCAGCTGGTTCTGCTCGGCAACCCATCGCTCTGCCTACCCCGTTCTGTTCTTCTTCTATGTAAGATTTCCATGCCGCCTCCTCTGACCACAGCCCGATGCACACCCACTTATCCAGAAAGCCACCCACTTATGCAGAAGTCAAGAGTCAGGCAGGGTTCAGATTTCAAGCTTTTTAGCCCTTTCAAAAGTTAATGCACATTTCGTCTGCCATGTGTTACATAACACCCACAGCAGGGCCTGGGGCAAAATGCTGTGATTAAATGCATCAATAATATTCTGCAGTGAAACCAAAGAACATTCACACAGAGTGGTCAAGGTCTACAGTCACATGAGTCACAACAGCCTTGAGTTGGCTGAGCTGTTTAGGTTTCAGGAAGGTGATAAAGGATTGAGGAGCTGCGTCAACAAAACGCTTTGCTCCCGCTCAAGGCGCACTTAGGTTTTACCTGGCTCTGGGTCATCTCCAGGAGGAACGGAGACTTCTGCAGCTCCCTGGCTGGCTGGCTACGTGGCAACCCCGGTGGCTTCCCCTGCATCCGGGTCTTCTGAGTCAGACCACTCAGTGTGGTTTGCAGTCTGCACTGACCTCAGTGGGGTTGCAGGCAGGGGAGGGTCCCAACAACACAGCTGCTGCTTCAGGAGAGGAACTGAGCGATGTCAACTGGAGCTCATCGCCACATCAAAACCACCTGCCGGCTGGGTGCTTCCCCTCGGCTTTTCTGTAAAATTGTGTGAGATAAGACTCCACTCCGGCAGCAAACACTGAGGAGGGCTCACCTGGAGAGAGATGGGCTGTACTGGGAGAGCTGGACTCTCTCAAGAAGCACCTTGGAGAAAGGAGAAGAAACATGGTGTTTTGTTTTGCTGGGCGTCAGGCGGTGCTAAGTGTGTTTTGTAGGATAGCGAGTTGGATCCTCACATTGACCCCATGGGGTATTCACTAACAGTTGTGTATAATTATTCTCATTGGACAAATGAGAGAGTTGAGGCCCAGAAGCACATCGCTCAAATGGGTGAGATTGCTGCCCTGCACAGGTGGCTACGTCACTGGCAAATTTGTTCCCAACCCCAGAGGATACAACAGAGACTGCCTGGAGAATCCGGCTCCCTGCATCCCAACCCCAGAACCCCAAGTCTCCTCTGGGGAAGAAGGGGGCCATCTTGTGGTATGTAGTCTTGTATTAGGTTAGAATCTTCTTACTTAGACAAAAGGGGCAGATGTAGTGGGTAGCCATTCCAGCTTTGATCTGGAAGTTCCAACCCCCATTGAGGCTTCGGTAACTGTCACGCCTACAAGGTGGGGCCAAGGGAGGGCCCTGAAGACCTGAGGTCCGGATGCGCCAGCCCTCTTGGTTCTCCTGGACCCTGGATGCTGGAGATAGACTGAGCAGAGTTCTCCAGAGAACACCACCGGACTTCACAACACCTTTCCCAGACCCTGTTACCTATCCCTTCACTTGTGAGTTACCCCACAAAATAAACCTCCCTTTTAACTACGTGGAGTTGCCTTAATAATTTCACCAATAATCTTGAGCTGAACATTTCACTTGGAATTCCTAAATTTTCCCCAGAAGTGGCAAAATCACGTTTCCCCAGCTATTGGGTAGAACGGAGGCTGGGGGTGGGTGACAAGGGGCACCCACATCCTGTACACCTGAGGATGTGATCTGATGACTCAGCAGCCATCATAAGCATGCAGGTGCCAGCTAAGCAGGACAGGGAGACGATGTGGAGCTAGGAAGTACTCAGGCAGGAGGCTAGAATGATGGTTCTTGTTGGGGATCAAAACCCAGTTTGAGTCCCCTCCATGCTCAGAGGAACTGAGCCTAGTGGGCATAGAGAACGCTCTCTATGCTCAGCCAGAGGCCAGAAACCATATTTCTCTGGATGTCTGGCTCTCTGGATTCCACTGTGGGATCACATGCTTCTGTAATCTTCTTTGACATCAGCTTAGCAGAGGGGATTATGGGAGTTAGAACCTGAACTAATAACCTGTCATGTGCCCTGAGCATGCAAAGATTTGCTCAGGATTTGCATCTACCCCACTGCAAGCATGCTTTATGAGATGTTCACTTGAAGGCACCAAGGAGCAGCTATGGCTCTCAGGGTTTCACAGAGACCAGGCTCAGGGAACACAGATGCAGCCACCCTGTGTCAACCTCCTGACGAAAGCTAAGCAGCCCAGATTCAGAGAGGAAGGCAGACAGAAACAAACAAGACACATCAGAAAAAGTTCACACACACACACACACACACACACACACACACACACACACACACACACACACACAGAGTCTTTCAACCTCTACAGAACACTTTACAGTCCCCAAACCTACTTCTGTCCTTGGTTCTTACTGAAGATTCCGACAGCAGGTAAAAGAAGACTGTGGGTGTTTGGCGATGAGGAAAACTGAGGTCCAAACAGGCAGACTTTGTTGAGATTATTCAGATAGCCACAGAGTCTGGAATCCAAGAAAATGACAGTCCCCAGTAGCACAGAGAACCGAGAGACAGGAAGAGAAGTATCAAGGACCCCACCCTCCACCAGACCTAAGTCACCAGCTAGTGATGCCTCTAGGGTTTTAGTTGACCTCTGCTGCCATCAAGTGGCAATTCTATGATATATCAGCCAAAGAGGCTTTGAGGGGCAGTGTTTCCGTTGGGTGGAGCATCTGTCCTCAAAGTGACCCACAAGACCAGAATCATCTTCCTATGACTCTGAGAGACCCTTCCTTTGCACTCTCATCTTCTCATGTGCACATGGGGTTTCCAAAGGCTGCACAACCAGTGACGTCACGAGACAAGCAGAAGGTCTCCAGCTGCCCCCACCCATTCACTACAGAGGAGTAACTCAGCCTAGTCAGGAGCACACAGTGGCAGACCCTGCCTGGCCTCCGAACATACAACCCCTCCCAAACTAACTGTGCAGCCAGGGCAGGCGCTAGGGCATACCTACTTGACACACCGCAGGACGTGACCGAGGAGGTTCTCTGGGTTCACATCAGCATTATCTAACATGCCAGGAGCATCTCCTCCCCAGCATCCTCAGAACCTGCTCGTGATGCTGAGGAGAGGAGGAATCCAGTCTCTTTCTGCCAAAGGGTTTAATAAACTAGCATGAAAGCATTGCTTTCATGGGGCTCCTCCATCCTCAACCCTTGAGATAGTGCCTACACAAGGCAGGTGCACAGCAATCGTGTGATGACTAGGTGACCAGAGGCCCCATAGCCATGGGCTCAGAGCTGCCCGGGGGACTTTGCAGCCCCAGGAGCTGTGGAGAGTGGAGACGGAGGAGAGCACTGTGAGGGTGCGAGGGGAGCACCTGTGAGCTACATGCTACACTGGGAAGAATGACCCGTCGGCCTCGGAGGGGCAGCAGTGATTTGGTGCTGGCTCTGTCAGGAATTTGCTCCAGATCACACAGACGTAGGAGCAGATGGGCCATAAGAGAAACTGAGGAAGACCTGTAAAGGTTTGTTTTTTACTTGACTGTGAGGACAAGTTCCCTTGCTGGGATTTAAAATCACCTTGTATGACATTTCTGCTTGGCTGATGGTAGCTGTCTAGGTGACAGTGTTGGGCAATTCTGAAGTCACATTCAGCAGTGTGCTGAGATGCGGTGGAGTAGGTGTGGCTGCTGCAGGTACAGAATCGGAAGCGACATCATGAACACATAGCAATGCAATCTCATATGTGCTTTCAATAGGAAATAAAACAGACACATAAAATCACACTGGAAGGCAGAGTACAGATGACATGTGCATTTTATTATGGTTTCCATATAAAAGTCAAGTCCAGAGAACACTCACCTCCTGCAAGCCCGGGCTGCCATCTGCCATTCGTGACACCAATACACACTACTGCTCAGGCTTGAGAACCTTTGGATTTCTCTCTCCTACATGATCCTTTCCAGCCACTGTGCCCTCCCTACACACCCCAAGGACCCGGGAGAAAATGCTACTACCCCCTTAGTTCCATTACCAGACTGCATGCAGCTGGTTTCTCTCTGAGCTGGTAACATTTCCACAGACCTAACCTACGCAGAGATGGGGGTGACCAAGGCATCCCAAAATCCAGGTAGAGGCATGTGACACAGAAATAACCCAAAGGGCATTCAGTGCTTTTATTTGGAAGCATGGAGCCAGCTCAAGCTTCTCCGCAAGTCTCTGCTGAGTTTTCAACATCCAGGGGCACAGGCATTTTGCTCCAGTTTTCTACAGGTTCTAATCCAGAGCTGAAAGAGATGATGGTGGATGCTTGCTCCATGGTCTGCTGCTTCCTTCCAGTACTCTGGGCTGGGGAGAGAAATGGAGAGCCTGCAATACTGAAGGAAGTGACTCTGAGCTCAGTATGACGGCTGCGGCCCACCAGCACAGAACCGGGAAGGCCGGGTCTTTTCTCTTCCCAATAACTCACTGGTGCTTGTTCTACAGGCACGGTCAAGCACCAGCCTGCCATGGGATGAGGCCTGGTCTGCCCTGGGAAGAGAGAAGGGATGTGAAGAATCCTCTTTTGAGTTGTGGCCAGCAGGATCTAGGCTCAGACAACCCACATGGAGATGGTTTTGGTTCCACAGAGACGGGGTAGTAATCACCAACACACTGCAGCCAGTCAGGAGAGCTGTCTGAGGTCATTTGTAAATGTTCAAACCAGGCAGCATGGAAAGAATGCATCTCCTTTCTTTGGGTCTGAAGCTCCCTGCAAATGGAAAGTAGGCTTCCTGGGTCTGGAGCATGCACGCCAGGGCAGAACATAGAACGGCACTATCCTAGGAGGGTTCTGGAACCAGGACTCTGGAAAGGCAGGGAAGGGTGACACAGTAGGACTCGTGAACAAACCTAAGAACCGACTGCCCACCAGTGACTAGGACCCTTTTTCTCAAATTATCCCTATGACAAAGTAACTACCTCACACAGTTCTCACTGAGTTTCACGTCTCTGTTCTGAGAAGCCTGGAAGAAAACAGAACAAGGGATGGATGACAAGGAAGGAAGGTGCTGTCTCCTTGAGACTCGGGGGAGATGTGTCCTCCATCCCATGCATATATTTGGAAACAATTTTCATTGACCCTTGTGCCTAGGACTCTGGAGACAGTCACCATCCCGCAGCTTCTTAGGGTCTGCAGTGTTCTAGGGCAATCTGAGATACATTGTTTCCTCCATTGGGGTCTAAAGGAGAAGGGAGGCGTTGCTGTGCATATCTTCAAAGAGTTCATGTTTCTGCTGCATAGATTGTAGCCTGCTCCAAACCTTTGTAAGTTAAAGCCCAGGCTTGCTAGAGGACCTGCTGTTCATGGCTCCTGGTTAGAGCAGGATGTTAAACACCTCGCGAGGGTGAAGCCTGTCAAGACAAAGCTGCTGGAACCACCCATTCCCACTAAAGGGGACCTGCTCTTCCCACTGCCCAGCCCCACTGCCACCCTTAATGACTTTTTTTCTAAGGAGATGGGTTTCCAAGCCCTTTGCAAGAGAGAGGACATTCAGAATGAAAAGTTTCCAACTGGCTCGACTACTGTTCTCAAATGCCAAATCTAGGACAGACCTGACTTGGCTCTCTAGAAACTTCCTCCAGCCTCCTTAAAGAGCCAGTCCTCAGTGTGGCAAGAGCAGCACAGTATGACAACTAGGGCAAGTGCCCAGCCACTCCAGATCTGAGGTCTTGGTACTGAAGCCATTTTGTATCTAAGATTTAGTCACATGGGATGTGGTTCTGGGCCATTAGGCAGGAAGGCTGCTACATCATGCAAAGTGGGTTCTGGGTCTGAGGCTACAGTTGGACCTTATGGTGACTGTGGGAAGTTGTACAATGTCCTTTCTGTAGTTTTTATATTTTCCTACAATATAAAAATGCAATGATTTTGTTACAGGTTTTTAAATTTTTATTTCCCTGTTAAAGGGGATGTCTAAGCACAACTTTAGGAATGAAACAATATCTGTGTCCTGCCCAGCCTTGTCATGGACATCACCCAAATACAGAGATGCTTCACCAAGAGCTTTAATTATGAAAAATGTGTTACTACCCTTTTTCATTTTGTATAAAAGATGGCAAAAAGCCGGAGAAGCTGTGAGTGTCAGAATTCTATTAAGGCCAGCTTCTAGGTTTGCTGTGGTCAGCCTGATTGATGGTTCTCTCTATCTCCATCTAGAACCTGGTACACTGTCTATGCTTCCCAGAATCCACTGCAGCATGGAGTTAGAGGTCAATAGTCAGGCTTCCCTGATGGTGGCCATCCTCCTTGGCAGTCACAGAGGCAGAGTGAAATGGTTTCTTGGTTGATGAGAAAGTCCAATGATTGACCACTCCATTTTCTGAGCTTGCAAGTGACAAGCTTGAGGCTAGGAAGGAACAGCAACAGGACAGAGGGACATGGGAGGTCCACCATTCTTCATCCAGGGACTGTGCTAAGTCTCCATCAGGAAAAGGGTGGAGGAGGAAGAGCTGCTGTGCAGAGGACCTCCACTGGGAAGGATGGAGGGGAACAGCAGGCAGTTGGGGGGGTCTGTGGTAGGCAGCCACATCTCAGCTAAGAAATCAAGCCGTTTGCTGGAGGAAACCAACAGTTAGGTCTGGAGGACAAAGCAAGTGACATCAAGACCCAGGGGAGTTGGCTCAAGGCACAGCAAGATCACAGACCCCAGGAGAGAGAGGGCAGAATGTTCAGGATGGGGGCAGGTTGGAGGCGGCGGCATCAAGGACTGACTCCCAGGTAGCGTGAGGCAGAGAGCTGCTGAGAGCATTTGAGCAGGAAGTCAGATGCATGGTGCTACACCGATCCTTCCACACTGAGAAAGGAAAGGGCCTGAGGACTCTAACGGTGGGAGGCAAGGAATGGCCGACCCTCGGGAGCTTTGCGAAGGAGCATGTTAGTAAGAAGTGGGGAGCTGACCCCATATTGGCATAGTGTGGCCTTTGGGGTCAGTATCCTCAGATCACGGATCACTACATTTTAAGAAAGAGGCTAAAAGCACCTCTATCCAAGGACTGTGGAGCTGTGAATGGGAAAGAGCAGGTGAACTGGCTGTGAAATGTTGAGTTGTGCCCAGTTCAGTGACTAGGGGCCCAGCATGCCGCGGTCAACCATGGGTATTTCAGAACTGCAGTGTGTTGGTGAGACAGCAAGCTTCTCCACTGGACTTACCACAGGGGACAGAGGGGCATTTCAGAAGCTCAGGACAGTTTTGTAAGGAAGAACGGAGTCCCAGCTTCATCCTTGGCTAGAAGAAGCCACACTCACCTTACACCCATGGGCTTGTCACAGTGTGGTCGTGCGGAGTGCCTTCAGGGAGAGCTCATACCCAAGGAACATGGCCGCACTCATGGGGAAGCCACGCACAGCATTCACAGTGAGACCCCTGAAAAACACCTTTGTGCAGGGGGGTCGTTATTCCAGGGCTAGCCCTCTACAGTGCCGACCCACGCTCTTCTGACGGTGAGAGAAAAGACTGCAAACGCACTGTAGACCAGCCCTAGCTTGACCTGAGCCCAAAAGATCTCTATGTGGGCAGCCTTTGGCCTGTCCCCAACCCATGGTACCTGTGATGGCACTTGTCATCATGGGCTCTGCTGTACATAAGGCTTCAGCAAGCTGAGATCCAAGCAATTCTGAGCTGGTATGGTTGGATGCACCTGTGTTTGTTCTCTGTCTCTTTCCCACCCCGCCCCTCAGGGTTCTAGAATCTCTATATAAAGCACTCAGCCCCACTCAGTGATAGCAACAGGTGCTGCCTACAACATGCCCAAGTGGTACAGCACAAACGCAGGTCAATGCTTAAAATCGCAGGCCATGGATAGGGTCACAGCATGGGTGGGTGACAACATCTCTAATTATAGTGGCAAAGTTGGGCTGCTAATGGGAGATCCAGGGAACAACCCAGACAATGCTTCTTAAGGCTTCTCCTAGTGCCCACTGAAGCAGTGGGTACCCAGTGACTGACTGCCATCCTCATAACAGTCATCTCCTGTGGAGGCTGAGGTAGCAGTCTGAATGGAGAAGCGGCTAGCAGCCTCTGCCTCTGTCACCATCTGTCACCTGCGTTTTGTCTTCTGTTTCTGGGCAATGCTATGACGTGACTCTCATGAGCTCCTGACTCCCTACATCTTTCTACTTGGTGTCGGGTGGGCGGCCTATACCCTCTTAGATGAGCTAAACACATTCTGGAGCAATGACAATATTACCAGGCGATGATGGGAACAGAGAGGGGGCTGGGGAAGCAGGGGGAGGAAGCTGCTCCTTACAGTGTTCTCTGGAACTTGCCATAATCAAGAGGTAACCCTCCCCCAAGCATGATCTGAGAGCTGTCGGGCACATGAACTGTCTCACACAGAATCATGGCAAAGACAGAATGGATCATTTTCAGAAAGAGGCAGCCAGCCTGTATATTCGTCCAGTTTCAGGGGACACTGGCAGCCACAGGACACAGTTTGGCCTAGGAGAGGAGCAGATAGAATAAAAGCTGGCACCCCTCAGGCAGACCCACACAGGATCCGGGTAACATTAGCACTCTGTTCTAATGACTAACCACACTGGAATTCCTCAGGCTCACCCGAAGTGACTAAGTAATAGCAAGGAGCTGGGTTCAGCTCCAAGGGGAAAATTCCACGCTGGGTTCCCAGACATCTGTAACCTTGACTTGACTCTGCTCCAAGGCTGCAGGGAGAACCAGGTTACAGGTGGGCCCAGCCTGGCACACAGCCTCCTATCCCATAAAACAGCATTCCGAACTTTTGAGCTAAGACCTTCCTCATGAAGACTCCATGGCTCCCTACTACCCGGGACGTGTCTACGTAGACTCCTCACTGGAGGAGTCTGGGCTGATGAGCCTCCTGCCCAAGCATTGTGTTCTCTCCGACTGCATGTCTCATCTGTCGCCCTGGGACATCTCTGGTCCCCTCTGCTTTAAATGCTCTCCAGACATGCTTGCAGCCTCTGTCCATCCAATCAAGGCCACCCCCGAGTGGACAAGCTTCCTAATCACACCATGCCCTATTGTTCCTCACGGTCCATGACCCATGAGTCCCTGACGGGACAAGGAGCAGAGCCTGTGGGTGTAGTGCTCTCCCCATCTCCCATCTCAACACTCATGGGACCTGAGCAGACCGTCTATAACTAGTCAAATGAGCCCACGAAGGATGAGCAAGTGAATGAATGACAGAAGAGCCTGCGCCGAGGGAGTTCTGGTGGTGGTGGCTGTAGGGTTCAAGTAGGGTTAGGACTTCAGACCCAAAGGGCAAGACCAGCAGGCAGCTGACCTCAGCCTCGCAGGAAGCCTGACTACCAAAAACACGCCTCTCCAGCCCTGAGCCAGCCTTGTCCCACCACCAGGAACGAAAGGCTCCTCACTTCAGCCCATGTGGCCCATGTCAACCCTCAGAGTGGGCAGAGTCAAGGACCACAGCACCGGGGGCAACTGATTCTAGTTTGGTGGTAGGTCCCTAAACCATGAGCTTCTGGGTGTGCCCTCTCCCAGCAACCCTTGAGTTACAAAGACCAGATCACCCTGCCTCCAGTGCCATGGTCCTTCCTGAGTCCTTGTCACTACTGAGTTCCTGTCTATGGGAAGATGAGTGTGGGTATGCTGATGGAGTGTGTAGGGTTTTCATAAGCCACAGGCAGAATGTTCTAGAAGTCATTCTCTAGCAAGCAGAGCCCATGTCATGGGGACCGCAGTTACTATTGGTCTTAGATTAAAGGAACTCTTCCCACTCGGCAGTTGCCAAGTTCAAGACAACCCATGGGTAGCACACACTATATATAGCACACTACTGTTATATCAATATGAAATGCCGTACGTGTGAGCACACACAGACATCCACTCGCTTGCATGTTTGCAAGTGCGCTGTGTGTTTGGGGAATATAGCACAAGAAACTCAAATTGGTAGCTGCTTTTGAAAGGATGGGGTGACAGGTGGGACACTAAGACATGTGGTGTCCTTGTGTTTGGAAGCTTCCTGCTTTCACATAGCACCGACCTTTTCATCAACTAGTACACGATTTAAAGATTAATCTTAATCACTGGGCTGGTGAAGAGGTTCATCAACTGAGCACTGTGTTGTATTTAATGAAGCTCAATTCTTGGCGCCACAAAAAGCAAATAAAATCTATCTCTGAATAAGCACTGCAGACAAAATACTGCTGGGATTAGGAAAGCAACTGCCCAGTCTCAGCTGTCCTGAGGTTTTTGTTTCTATGAAGTATAGAGATTGGGGGAGGGGAGAGGATAGCAGCAATTTGTTTTGCCTCTACAGATTTTTCTTTCGTTATGACACATTAATTTGGGAGAAATAGATAAAAACTCTCAAATAAAAAGTAGCATCCCAAAGGAATCTCTTTGGGTCCTATAACTGCTGATGGGATCATAAGCATTTGTCTTCTGAAAAAAAAAAAAAGCTGGGCATGGTGGTGCACACCTTTAATCCCAGCACTCGGGAGGCAAAGGCAGGTGTGTCTCTGTGAGTTCGAGGTCAGTCTGGTCTACAAAGTGAGTTCCAGGACAGCCAGGGATGTTATACAGAGAAACCCTGTCTCGAAAAACAAACAAAAAATTAAGTTTGTGCCTGAGTGGCACCCTCTCTCAGTGGCTGCCATTAAATAAAATAATGAAGACAGTAAAGCAAATGTATCCATCCCTAAAGACAGAAAGGCTCTCCTGAACTGCATCCCAGGCAGATGTCAATGCCCGGCCTTTCTGCACGTGCTCTGGGTCCCATCAGTGTATTAATTAATGGGAATTGACTAGAGGTGGATGCAGTGTTCCAGCTGTGGTCTGCTCAGGACAGAGGCTTCCAATTCCCTCGTCCTCTCCAGTACTTCTACATGTGCATCCTGTTCCCCTGCCAGATCCATCAGAGTAGGCTTTTCCTCTTTCTTTACTGCTCTGTCCTTGACTCCTAAAATTGCACCTGACCTAGCCCAATCTTCTAAAATTAGGCAAATTAATGGTGAACTTGTGAAAATGAAACCCCTCAGGCATTTTCTCTAGGAGCTTTTGTCAAATTTGATTGACAACTCTTTACTGCTAAGGGCTAGATATGATGTTGATTCTAGCGGTTCTGCCTCTAGATGTGAATCTCCTTCTAGATGGTAGGGAGTCCCCTGGATCTTACATCCTTTCATACAGCATGCTATCTCACCTCTGGCTCAGCCAAAGCTCTGGATCTTTCCTTGATCAGAAGAGAAGACAGAACACGCAACTTCTCTAGAGAGAAGAGGCAGTAGAGAGCACTTTGTGACCCATGGTGCTGTGTGAGAAGCACCCATGTGGGCACAGAAGTACAGTGATCACTGGGCAAAGGTGTGCCAGGCATGGAGGTATGGGTGGAACCAATTGGCAGGGCTTGTGGAGAGACAACACATGGGCACAGGCACAGGCCCTATGGGAACATACATTAATCAAACTACCTCAAGTAAAGTAGCATTTGGGAACTTCAGGGTGAGGTGTGGGCTAGCAGCTGCCTCTGTGTGTCCTCATGAAGGAGAAAGAACAGACAAAATAGATTCTATTCCAAGCGAAAAAGAGGAAGGGTGTTGTAAATCCACAAATGGGTGAAAGGCTACCTGGAAGCTATGGAGAAAAAGAACCAGAAAAAGAGCTTTAGTCTTGTGGCCCTATGATGGGACGGGGAAGCAGAAGGTACACACGAAAGGTGAGCTAGGTGTGAGGTAGGTATATCTGCCTTGGAGCATGCCTCTGCATGCACAAGTCTCAAACCCAGCTGCAGGTTTGGGCAAGGTGGTGATTCCTCTGGTCAGCTGTGGAGAGAAGTCTCGTTTCTGTCGTGGTAATATAGCTCAGAGGGCAGTGGCTGGGTATTGCCCTGAGAAAGACTACTGCTTAAAAACTGAACCAGCAAGGCTACAGAGAGCCAAGCTGAGCTGGCTCTGAGGGTAAGGGCATTTGCTGCTCTTCAAGAGGACCAGAGTTCAACTCCCACCACCCACATCAAGTGGTTCACAACTCCCTGTAACTTCAGCTCCAGGGTATCAGATAATCCCCTCCTAGACCCCAGGGACACTGACCCTCAAATGTGCCCTCAACCCCACGTGTACACATAAAGAAAACAAAAACTTAAGCTAGCCCTGGGGCATGCAATAAAGAGTATCCTCAGGCAGGGAGCCTCTGTTCCACCACAGCCTCGGGATTAGGAAAGGACGGGGAGACTGTGGTGAGCACGACAGCGAAGAGCTGACAGTCAGAAGGGCATGGGCAACAGTCTGCCTCAAGGAGGCATCCTTGGATGGCAGGAAACAGATCTCAACTACTGTCCATGGAGTTCAATAGTCCTAAATCTCAGGTCAGTGAACTCCCGATTTCTGGTCACCTGCCTGCCATAGAAGCTGCTTCTGACCCACACCTGTATCCTTCCAGCAGGTGATTAATACCCAGGAGACATTAAAACTACAAAGACAGGTCCTCCACCTGCTCAGGTCTCAGTGCTGTGCTCACTTCCTAGGCTGCCAACACACAAAGATGAGATCATCTAGCTAGACTATAGCCACTCCGGGTACAGTCTAGGGTGTTTTAGGAGAGTGAGACAACCCGCTCAGTCCACAGACTGCAAAGTTAAATATGGCCAGCAGAGGCCTCTGGTGCACAAATAAACAAATTAATTAATTTACAATTAAATAAACAAATTAAATAAATAAAAAATAGCAAAATGCTATTTTAGCAAAGTGCTGGTGGACAAGAGACACTTGTCTAATACAGAGTAAGCAACAATATATACCACAGGCAAGACACGAGGTCACAAGTTCAACTGGCCTGCACTTCCATGCATGAAGACCACTGAGGCAGCACCACAGAAGACACAGACAGGACTACTGCCCATAGAAGAGGATAAAAGACAGTCTCAATCATGAGAGCATTGGAAAGAATAAATGACAGGAAAGAACAGAAGCAGAAAGGGGATCTAGGAAAGAATCCATCATGTCCAACACAGCAAACCAGCAAACTGCCATTACTAACAGGGGAGACAGACAAGAACAGACAATAACCCAACCAATCAGAACAATAACAATAAAAATGACAGGAATCAGTAAACTTCTCTCAATATTAACCTTAAATGTACGTGCCATCAACTCATGAATAGAGAAATTCAGATTGGCTGACTGGATTAAAAGATTAGCCCAGCTGTCTGTTGTCTGCAAGAAACACACCCCACTGGTACACACACCCAGGGTTTAAAGGTGGAAGGCAACCTATCAAGAGAGTGGAAGATGAACACAACTAGCATAGCTATTCTGTATCTGATAAAGTAGACATCAAACCAAAATTGAAAGAGATAAGAAGGTCACTACATATGGAGAAAGGGAACAGCTCATCAAGAAGACAGTAATTGTAAATATATATGCACCAAATGGTAGATGTTTAATTTCTAAAATAAACACTAAGGGTCATAAAAGGTCATACTGATCCTGATATAATAAGTGGGTGATTTAAGTGTCCCACTTTCATCTAAAGATGGACCATCAACCTAAAAGTAAACAAACAAAAGACCCTGAACCCTAAATTACATGAGAGATTAAATGGACTTAACAGATATCAATGAAATACTCCACCCAACAGAATCAAAATATATATTCTTCTAAACAGCCCAAGCAACCTTCTCTAAAACAGGCCACGATCTAGGACACAAATTAAATCTTGGCAAATTCAAAAGCATAAAAATAATTTCATGTTTTTTATCAAATCTTAGTGGAATAAAACTAAAATTCAATAACAAGGTAAAGTGTAGAAACTGTAAAAACACATGGAGACCAAACAATATACTCATCAATAATTCTTAAAAGTTCATTGAAGAAATCAGAGAGAAAATTGAAAAATTCCGAGAATCAGATGAAAATGAAAATACCTGTAGCTATGAATACTTACATACACAACCCAGAGTGATCGTCAGGAATTGCCTAATGGTACATTTCAAAGTCTTAGAAAAAAAAGAATCAGCCAAACCCCCAAGCAGTGGTGGTTAAAAAAAAATCATAAAGATCAGGGCAGAAATTAGTGAAATGGAAATTTTTAAAAACGTACATAGAGTCAATCAAAGAGTTGGATCTCTGAAAAAATGAGCAAGATTGACAAACTCCTGGCCAAACTAACTGAAAACTAACTGAAAGAGAGAAAGAGAGGAGAGAGAGAGAGAGAGAGAGAGAGAATGCTAGCATTAAAAATTAGAGATGAAAGGCTGACATTGCCACAGACAGACTCCAATGAACCCCAGGCATTCACTGGGGAATACTTAGAATATCCATGCTCCAAACAACAGGAAAGTCTGGAAGAAATGGCTAAGGCCCTGGACACCTATGGCTACTAAATTAGTTCAAGAGGATATAAACAATCTAAAAAATACAGAAAAATCAATACGATCAAAGCTGTAATAAAATCTCCATCAAAGAAAAGGCCAGATCTGGACAGATTCACTGCTGAATTAAATTAAGTATTTAAAGAAGAGCTGAAACTAATTCTCCAGAAACTTCCATAAAATAGAAAAGTCAGGAAACACCACCGAACTCATTCTACAAAACCAGCATGGCCCTGATACCAGCAGGAGAAAAAGACAACGAAGGAGAATTATAGACCAATTTCCCCCAATGAACATAGACACAAAGATTCTCAATAAAACCTCACAAACCTAAGAACACAATGAGAAGCGAGACACCATGACCAGGTTGATTCTATTTCATGGATAGCTTGACTGAACATATGCAAATTAGTGTAAATAGACAGAGATCACATGACCATTCCAATAGCTACAGGAAAGGCCTTTGACAACACTTAACACTTTCGTTCGTGATAACAGCCTGGAAGAAACTTAGAAGGGACACACATCAGCACACCAAGGGCTATACGACACACCTAAGCCAATACTGTACCAAATAGGGGCAAACTGAAAACTTTTCTGTGAAATCTAAAATGAGACAAGGGTGTCCACTCTCTCTCCTCTCCTTTTAATACAGTGCGTGAAGTCTTACCTGGGAAACATGACAAGAGACGAGATAAAAGGACTTCAAATAGAAAAGAAAGAATTCAAGCCACCCCATTTGTAGATAGCACCATCTTTTTCTTAAAAGCCTACGGACTCCAGAACCCTCAGACTTGATCTACAGTTTCAGCAAAGTAGCAGGGCACAGAACCCACACACGAAGTCTAGTAACTTTCCCGTACACCAGCAACAAACGTGCTGAGAAAGAAATCAGGAGGGGAAAAAAAAGTCCCAGCCACACTGCTCCCTCAAACAGAAAGTATCCAGGAATAATCTCAAGGACAGGCTGGTAACCTCCAATACCTGCTCTCTCAGTCCCTGACCTCACCCTTTTGCTCACCTGGGGGGATGGGGGGGCTGTGTGCAGCTCACCTTCAAGCCTTCTTGACGGTAACTCTGGGAGATGCAGTCCAGGACTCCGCTGTATCTGTTTAAATAGACCCCATCAGCTTGGAGTCGACTTTTCACGACATCCATCGGAGTTGCTGTCCCCCAGGAAATGGCCCCTGCAAAGTCAGAGAAAAGCATGCCAGAGCTGGCTGTCTTGGGTCTCCAAGGTGTGGCTCCCTGAGGATGGTGTCCTTCAGAAAACCCATAGGTGGTGGCGAGGGATGTGGGCTGGGAACGGGACTTCTGGTCCTCTCCCTCCACCCACTCTTGGACCTCGAAGAAGCCTCCTGCACCTGCTCTGTGGACTGGGGCTGAAGTGCTGGGTTCGTGAGGCGGCTGTGAGGACATGTGAACGGATGCCTGTGGGAGCCTGGAAGATGAGACTAGGCCACAGTGAGGCTCCACGTGTGGCAACATTTATCTATGGGACAGCAACTGCTTCACAGGGCTCTGCAGTCCTTCCGAAGCAGAGAGAGAGCTCAGGGTGAGACCTGTGACCAAAGGCTTGCAGCTATCCACAGGCAGGGTTTCATTGGAATCTGGGAAACCAAGCAAAGCCTGTCACACAGACCGCTCACTGAGAAGGGCCAGCCTAGGGACTGCAAGGCAAGATTTGGCATAGTCTTTTTCTGTGTAAAAACTTTCCTAAATCTGTGGCATAAAACTGAGAGACCACATATCGGGGTCATCGTCACTGGATCAGCTCAAAGTCCCTGTTTAAGCATTAGTGTGACTCTAAAGCGTTAGGAAAACAGTGGTTGTTTTGTTTTGTTTTACTAACGCAGAAAGTGGCACATTCTTGGCTGGGGAGAGACAACACTCCAATGTCAAAGTCCAGGGCAGCTGGCTTTCTAGGTTTGGTAACTGCTGCCTAGCAGCTCTCCAAAGAGACATCCTGGACCCTCTGCTCCAGCTTTCTAACATGGCCTCCGGAAGTCTGTCTCCATGTTCACTCTCTCCTGACCTTGCCAGGTCTCCTAGCTGCCTCCCTGTGTGTGCCTGGGATACTCATCCCTCAGTCACAGTGAGGATGCCATGAAATGAAGGCCTCAGGCCCTTGGCACCTGCTCTCCACACAAATGAGAACGGATAGGAACTTAAGGGCTCTTCCTAGGAAGAGGTCCAGGGATGGGCCTCAGACACACAAGGGCATAAGCAGAGCACCACTGCTGTATGGTCAAGGCATGGGCTTTGTGTGTGTCTGCTGTGAGTTTAAAACACAGATAGCTCTGAGGAGGAGGGGATGTGGAGGAGGGGAAGGGGAGGAGGAGAAGCAAGAAAAGAAAGATGCCTGAGAGGTGGTAGGGAGTCATATCAAAGTAGGTATGGCAAACCACTCAATGCATGCTGACCTTCCCCCTGAGTGAACCGCGGCTGTGGTGCAGGGTAGGAGAGTAACAAGTCCATGGCGACAAAATGAGCAGGTGTGGCCCCACTTGGCTCTTTCTGACTGCAGAGTCCCTGCTGTCCTGTCTGCACTGGCTTCGTGGCCTTGAGTATCTCAGCGCAGCGTGGAGACTGGCTCCCCCCTCCCACACCTAACAAAGTCTGACACCCAGTGAAGGTGAACTGCACTAATAGCTTTCCCCAAAGCTCAGCAATGCCTGCCACGGAGAACATGCTCGGAGTGCATCCAGGGCCTCAAAGTGCAGTGAATTCACACAGATACTCACAACCCTGGAAAGAAGGACACGAGGGGTCACAGGACTGCTCCCCCTACTAGTTATGGCACAGAGTAAGTGAAATAAAGGGTCCTGCATATATGACTGGATGAGTCCTGCCTTCTCAGAGGTGGGAAGGTCATGGTGGGTTCCTCTGCACTCTACCATCACTGTGGCAGGCCCAGGACCCAGGGACGGGACTCCCATGCTGTAGCCCTTACCTGCAATGCCACCTGCCAGCCACACAGCATGGGGGCTGGGCCCTGTGCAGGCCTCAGGTGTGATCCATTCACTCAGGAACACATAGGGAATAAAGTAGAGGCAATATCCTGGGATGTCCCTCAGCAGCATGGCGCTGGCTCCCCGGTATAGCCCTGCCAGGCCCTCAGTCCGCACAATGGTTGCAATACAGTGTATTGGTCCATGGTATGCTGCCTGCTCCCCTAGAGCCACTGCCCTGGTCTTCAATCCATGGTTGGCTGAAAAGACAGGAGAGAGATGGTAGCAAGTGACCAGGCAGGTAAGAGACTGGCCAGCCCCTGGCACCACAGCCAGTCCATCCCACTGACAGTCTCCACTCACACGGCTCATTTGTTTTTACCAAGCTATCTGTCACTCTTGGCAGCTTATACCAGAGTTTTGAGGCTCCAATCAGGAGCCCTGGCAACCTGTACACAAGATTGGAGACACTCCCAGCCAAGTTGCCCTGGGATTTCCAGAGTCTTCTGGTCAACCATCACTATGCATTTCCAAGCAGCTGTGATTGTAGAATGCCCAGGATCATTGAAGACTGTCAAGTCAAGCTCACCCTTGATGGGGAATTGATAGTCATTCATATTCCCCCCTACCTGTCTCTCCCAATACTCTTTGTGTGTGTGTGTGTGTGTGTGTGTGTGTGTGTGTGTGTGTGTGTGTGTGTGTGTGCGCACAGATGTGAACATGCATGCGAATGCCTGTATTCTGTGTGGTAAAGTAAATGTGATTTGAAGCCAGGCTGTCCTGGGTGCAAATCCTCCTCCACCACTTACAAGTATTAGCATTTTCTACCTTTGTTTTCTGATCCTTCAAAGACTGACAGACTGCTGTCACAGACACAAGTCAGGTAACATGCCAAGTCCTCAATGTGGTAGCTGGAATAGTGTTGGGTCCAGTAAGTTAGCAAATGATGGTCAGTCAGAGGACCCGCTGGCCGGCTAGAGAATAGGCATGTTTTGACTCATGCCAGCCCTGGCCTGGTTGTGCCCCCAAACAGCTGTAAGGCAGTATCAATGGACCCTGAAAGTTCAGGGGCCCAGCACAACTGACTCTGTGACAGAAGTACCATTCAGACAGTAGCACTCAGCATGTAGACAGCACCACCTGCCAAAATGAAAACAAAGGCCTAATCCATCAAAGTCCATGGCTCTGAGAAGTCTCTAAATGCCCTAACCTTGCTTTTTGGCATCTGTAGTTAGTTCTGCTCCTGACTGTTCTTGTTAACTCAAGTATGTCAACCCAGGATATGGTTGCTGTGCTTACAAGCTCACCCTGAGAAAGGCTCGGGGCTACGCTGGGATCCCGAACACTCAGTATAGTCACCGGCCGGCTAATAAAGACTTCCTATGGCTTAAACCCATGTCGGAGCAGTCTTCTTTGGTGGATCCCCACAAGTTCAGGCTGCGGGGGAGGGGGGTACTATGCTGGTGGTTTTCTCTCTCTGTAGCATCTCTGGGGTACACAGAGCAGCAGACTGGTCTCTCCCCCAGCTGGTCCTCCCACAGAGCACCCTCCACCTTTCCTTATGTTCATCTTCTCTGTTGTGGCTCTTGGTCAGGTAGGCCTTCCAATACCGAAAAAAATGTCCCTTCTGAAGGCTCCTACTAACATGATGGGACCAGGATGAAGCATGAAAGCCACCCATGACCACAATACTGTTTGAGCCACCTGATCCCAGGTCTGATTTGGTCTCACACATGCTGTAAACAGGAAGTGGCCTTTCATCCTGGGAGCTAACTCCCAAGTCCCCAAATGTTCCCATCTTTCTCCGATGAACATTCAGCCTTGTGGCTATGTAGTTCAAAGTGGAGATTAAAGGACATGAATTTTAACTCATCCCAGAATTCCACAAGAGCGAGGGGAGGCAGCACTTGCCTGAGAAACATGCCTGAGCAAACTCCTACATATACATTTCCACCTGTGTAGGGGAAGGGAGGTGAAGGCCACCTTGGGGTTCATTTAAGCAAGAACAGACATTGTGGCCCTTGAGAGGCCCCAAGAGATCATTATACATTCTTTCCCAAAACTGTGACGATATTACCAGTGTGTCCTGGGAAATTTGCCATAGACCAAATAGGTGTCGTTGTCTGGCTGTGTAAACGCTGACTAGGCAGCTCCTCTCTAGCTGTGGCTGATCTGACCCAGGAGTCAAGGCTCCCCTAAATCAGTTTCTACAGTGTGGCTTTCAGGAGTTACTGATTGAAAGGCCGTGTCCAGATAATGATCTGCTAGTTTGGCAGTGCAGATGTTGAAAGAACACTGGCCAAACTGCCAGCAGCCCTGTCAATAAACCCCTGTATTTTTTTCCATTATCTCTCCTGAGTAAGCAATAAGAAAATTCTCTCACATTCTTCTAAGTTAGCAACATAAGCAATCTAGCTTTTATTGGTTTATAATTACTCATCTGCGGCTATTAAACCAATATAATAGCCAGTAAAGTGTGCAATGGACTATCCTCGACATGAAAACACCCACCCGGACGCTGACACAGCTCCGGACCAAACCAGACTCACACTGTTAATACTTGTCAACTGGGCAGTTCAATCACAAAACACCCGAGGTAATTATCTTCTGAAGAGAAAAGGTTTCTTTTGGCTCTCAGTTTGGGGGGTTGTTCTTTCACTGATTAGCCTCATTGTTTGGGGTCTGTAGCAAGGCAGTGCACCATGGTTACATAGGATGATTTCATGCAAGTGTGTAACGTACTTTGAGCATATGTGCCCCACACCCTGCTGCTCACCCCTTTCTCACCTCTCCATTCCCGCTGTTCCTACTCAGCCTTACTTCTTTCATGCCGTGTGTGTGTTTGTGTGTGTGTGTGTGTGTGTGTGTGTGTGTGTGTGTGTGTATGTGTGTGTGTGTGTGTGTGTGTGTGTGTGTGTGTGTGTGTATGATGTCATGCACCTATATAAAATATGAGAACCACAAATGAGAGAAAACATGCAATATTTTTTTCTGAAACAACTTAATTCGCTTACTAGGTTATATCCAGTTGAATCAGTTTTCCCGTAAATAACATAACTTCATTCTTCATGGCTGAAACACTTCTACTGGGTGTACAACCACATTTCCTTAGTGCACTCTGTGCTGACTCCTGGGCTGGTCCTATAGCTCAGCTACTGTGATGAGCACTGCAATAATACTGATGTGCAGATATCTCTGTGTTGTGATGATTTGGAGCAGCACTGGTAGCTAGGTGTTAGTTTTTTGAGGAGCCTCCATATGACTTCCACAGTGATTAGACTAATTTATAACCCTACCAAAAGTTCCTCCCTACCCCTATATCTTCTCTAGCATTTTTATTTACTTTCTCTTTTTGTTTGTTTTTCAAGATAGGTTTTCTCTGTGTAGACCAGGCTGGCCTCAAATTCAGAGATCTACCTGCCTCTGCCTCCCAAGTGCTGGAATTACAGGCATGTGCCACCACTGCCCAGCTGTGATGTTCTTAATGATTGCTATTTTGACTGGAGGAGATGGAATTTCAATGCAGTTTAGTTGGTATTTCTCTGATGATCAGTGATACTGAATATTCTTTCACGTTTATTGCCCATGCATTTATTGACACGTGTCTACTCATTTCATTAGGCCGTCTATTGATTAGATTGTTTGACTTACTTAGTTCTTTGAGCTCTCTGTATAATCTAGGTATTAACCCTGTTAGATATCTAGGCATCAAAGAGCCTCTCCCTTTCTGTGGGCTGTCTCTTCACTCCATTGTTTCCTTTGCTGTGCTGAAGCTTTTTAATTTCATGAAACCCCACTTGACAGTTGTTAGCATTATTTCCTAAGTGACTGGAGTGCCATTCAGAGAGTCTTTGGCAGGCCACTGAGCTGACTCAGTGGGTAAAGATGCCTGCTGCCAAGCCTGATGACCTGAGTTGGATCCCCTAGGACCCACATAATGGAAGAGAGAACCAACTCTCATTAAATTGTCCTGTGATCTCCACACATGTGCATGGCATGTGTCTCCTCCAACACTAAATAAATAGAATTTAAAAATCAAAGTCCTTGTCCATGTTGATATCTTAAAGTGTTTCCTCTTATTTTCCCTCCAATGCATTCTGGAGTTCAGATCTTACATTAAGGCTTTTAATCCATTTGGAGTTGATTTTCATACAGGGTGAGAAATAAGGATCTAAATTCATTCTTCTAATGTCGATGCCCAGTTTCACCAGCAACATTTGTTGAAGAGGCTGTCTTTTTCTCCAATACAGATTTTTGGCTTGTCAAAATTCAATCGCCCATAGTTGTGAGCATCTAAATGTGGGTTCTCCATCCTATTCTATTCTATCCCACCCTATCCTACCCTACCCTACCCTACCCTACCCTACCCTACCCTACCCTACCCTACCCTACCGTCTACATGTTGGTTTTTGCTCCCATGACTCTATAGTACAACTTGAAATCAAGTATGCGGACGCCTCCAGCATTTTTTGCTTTGCTTAGGACTGTTTTGGTTTTCTGGAGTCTTGCGCTTCCACGGGTATTTTAAGACTTTTTTCTATTTCCGTAAAGAGTGGCTCTGGACTTTTCATGGGTTTGCTTTTATATAAGACTCGGTGCTTCTCTCGGCTTTCAGTATCTCCTTTGCTCTCTTGTTTAGTGTTACTATACTGTGGTGTCAGCAGGTTCTTTTCTCGTCTTGTCTGTTTGGTGTTCTAAATGCCTCCTGGTTCTAGATGCCATCTGCTTCTCTACATTTGGGGAATTTGTGCTACTATTTTGTTTAATATATTGTATACACCCTTAGACTAAAGTTCTATCACTCCATGGCTTAGAAATTTGATCTTTTAGTGGTGTCAAATAGAGCTCATGTATTCTATTCATATTTTATCACTTTATCTTTGTCAACGTCTGAATCGATCTGTTTTCTTCCCTGATAGTGTCTTCTATTTGAGCCATTCATTAGCAGAGCTTTGTAAAGAGTTCATTTGACTTACTGAACTTCTATTTCTTAAATTTCAATTTTATTTGTATTCATATTTCTATCTCTTTCTTGAGCTCCTATGTCAAATCCTGTTTGATTCTCTTATTTCATTTATTTATTTATTTGGATTCTATTTCAATTCATTTGATAGTTTATTTGTATCCTCTGTTTTTATTAAACTTTCTTACAATCCTTCCTTTGAATTCTTTATCTGGGATTTAATGCAATGCTCTCTCATTGAGATCCATTGCTGTCCTTCATGTTTCTAATATATTATGTGTTCTGACTTATGCATAT